TGAAGGAAGGGAGAGCTTAGGAGTCGTGTGCAGATCTGGATGCCAAGGTGAACTGTTGTATTGCACAAGAGTTTGCTTGCTTGAATGATTAATAAGAGGCGTTTTGTGAAAGAAATTAAATTCTTTATTCTCCAGAAAAGACGCGGTTAGCACTGGTGTGGCCTAGTGACTCTTTTGTCCTTCATTTTGCAGAGCGTGCGTTTCGGGACCTTGGCTGATGAGGAGCCCCAGTTGAAGTTGTCTCTTGATGCTGACTGGGTAGGAGCCTTCCCAGGAAAGGACCTGCTTTTGGTTTGTGCGGAGTGAAAGCACAGGAAGGCAGCATTTTCTGTGGTCAGTGCTTGTGGAACACGAGCTGTACGGGCTCTGACAGGGCTGGGCATCACCTGTGGCAAACACCAGGCTTGCTCCGTGCGGCCCCAGTTTCACACTTGTATTCACTGCTCCAGTGGGGGAGCGGACCCCAAACTGCCCAGTGAGCAGAAAGCCAGCACAGCCAAGGGGAGGCTTCTGTTGTGCTGAAAACATCACCACCTCACAAGTACAAATCCCCATTCTCTTGAGCGCTGGGAGTCACAGAATCACAGAATGTCAGGAGTTGGAAGGGACCTTTGGAAAGCACATCCAGTCCAACCTCTGCCACAGCAGAATGTCCAGGCGGGTTTTGAATGTCTCCAGAGCAGGAGACTCCACAACCTCTCTGGGCAGCCTGGGCCATGCTCTGGCACCCTCACACTGAGTTTGTCCTTATGTTCAGGTTGAACCTCCTATGCTCCAGCTTGCTCCCATTGCCCCTTCTCCTGTCGTTGGACATCACAGAGCAGAGCCTGGCTTCTTCCTCCTTACACTTGCCCTTTACAAATTCATAACCATGAATGAGGTCACTCCTCAGTCTCCTCTGCTCCAAGCTAAAAAGACCCAGCTCCCTCAGCTGCTCCTCATCAGGGAGATGCTCCACTCCCTCCATCATCTTTGTGGCTCTGTGCTGGACATCAGTCTGCGCTGAGTCACCTCAGTCTCTGCAGTGACTCGGTTGGGTTACGGCAGGGATGCGTCCAGACTCATTTCACTGTTTACTACGTGGCAATGCAAGTGAGATTCAGTGTGAGATTAGGGCTCCTACCTTTACCTGGCTGCTTGTGAGCCCGGCTTCTGAGAAGCTGTAGGCAGTGGAGCCCAGGGAATGGTTCCACTCAGCTGCAGCTCAAGGAGACGCCTGCTAGGAACATCTAGGCAGGAATATCTGAGGTTGCTTGAAAGATAGAAGATGTTTGTGCTGAAATACAGGGTAAGCTGAGACACTGCATAGGTACAGGTTGTTTTAAATGGTTAAGTTTTAAAAAAAGCTTTATTCCAAACAACGGATTAACCCATCAAAGGTCTAAATCAGATTATTCAATGCTTTCACAAGTTTCTAAATGGGAAATGCATAGGTGAGAAAGCTGCTTGTGCCTGTGGGGAAGTAGCTGCGCTGTGTGCTCCTGATAGGGTGTCCAGGATGTGCAATGAGAGTGGAGGAAAAAAGCAACCCACTGAATCAATGCACTAAGATATATGTTCATAGAGACTAACCACTAACCAGATACAGGGTTACACAACATGTTTAGCCAAGTCTTTATAGATATATACTTATTTACAACTTTGATGATTTTTATCCTCTGTTTTTTGTGGTTTTTTTCAATTCATTTTTGGTTGTTTCAATATATTTCAGTAGGGGTTTTATGAAGACAGCTAAAATGCATTCAAACATTCAATTTCTAGCAAAAGTTGAATTGTGCTTGGATAAATTAGATTCTGCTTTATCAGAGTATTAGGTATTTTGTGACAAATCTACATTTCCCAGCAGCCTGCATTTACTCATTCAGTGTCTGATCAAGAGGAAGTTCCACATTTCATAGGCTGCAAGTGGGGACCACAAAAACTAAATATTAACTTAGATATATGTGCAGGTACATGGACTGAGAGGCCCAAAAAGTGCACAAGAGTCCTCACAGGGGTAAGGAAAGCAACCTTTCAATTAAGCATCTGCACACAGACCTACCTCTCACTGAACTTCAGTGTATAAATCATGATTCAGGCACTCAGAAATAGTTTCCACAAAGCCCAGTGCCACACACTCCTTGAAGAGCAGCGCAAATCTTTAATGAACGGAGGTTACATTTCTACGTTAACAGCACAGCTTGTCTAGTTTTAACCAACCTTTTCTTCTAGCAAGGCCTTGATCATCTTAGCTGTGATGTGCCTGTCTGATTTACCACTGATGCCATCCACCTTCTGTGTGGCTCCTGCTTGACATTTCTTCTGGCTCTTTATGAACAGGCATGGGTCTTCCAAGCACACACAACAGATTAGTCTCTGGAGGATCCACTTTTACGTATACCTTAAGAAGAAAGAACATTATTCTTCTGCAGTTATATGGAAAAGCAGCAATTCTTAAAAAAAGAAGTTGTTGTGTGTTTTCACCAATTACATTTTCTCTGCAAACCAAATTCTGCTCCCAAGTTCAGTTCTGTGAGAAGAATTAAACTAATCCAACAGCTCACTACTGCCAAAACAGAGAGGTCCAAGTCTGGCCATGTGCTTCCACCACGTCTGTGCTGGCTCTGGTCTTGGCCAAACCTCTAAGTCAATTTGGTTGACTTAACCCAATAGAAAACTAATTCAGGAGGAGCCAAAAAAGCGCAAGCTTTTCTGCTGGGTTAGTGAGTGAATCTGCTATGGAAAAGGCTGATGTGCACTATGGGCTCCCTAAGGGCAAGGGCAGGATCATACGGCCAAGGTGAAAGAGGAAAGAAGGAACCCAATAACACAAGCCCTATGTAGTACATGCTTTCATAACAGTTGATTACTCCATAAGGTAGTCTCCGATCAAGGCAACAGGATGATTTCTCTGAACACAAGTTGCAGGGTATTAATCAAACCAATGCCAAATTTATAGAAAAAGATGTTTTTTCTTCTGTTTTGTCTTTGTTTAAGCTCATTCTTGAGAATGTTTGAACAAAATACAAAAGAGTAAAGAAACATTACGGAGCAGTATCTTTACACAGCAAGCCCTGCAGTCTGCACCATGTCTGTATCACCTTTAATTTGCAGTAGAAATTGATGACATAGAGTAATACTTTTTCCAAGAGTAGTTAGTTTATTTAGCAATGTATTCAAGTTACTGTATCTCAAGAGTGTGGTATCAAAGGCACAGGAAACACCTTTTTGCAACCTAGGATTGAGGATCTCCTGAAGCAGATGCCACCACCTCTTTCGAGAACCACACAAACTCTGCCCAGTACCGTTTTATTTCCTTAACCTCTGTATTTTGCACCCAGAAACACCTTCACGTTGGCTTTCCGTTGAAGGAATAAATTACTTGTTGATCCTTTAATGCTACTACACAACGTAAATGCTAAAGGATCAACATCTGAGCAAATGAGTGTGTGGTACCATGGAAAACTGTCACTAGGTGACATCCAGAATTCTTTGTAGGGGAATTTCACCCTGACACATAAACTGATTCCAATGACACCATTCAGTTGCCAAAAATACGTGTCTCATGCTATCAGAAATACCCTCAGGCACCCAAAACATCCACATGAGGCTGGCCTGTATGACAGAACCTGTGCTCTTTTGGCCCAGCATCTGAAGGACAGGGAGTGTCTGATGGTCACAAATAGCACCAGATGCCTGTGATTAAGCATCTGAATTGTACACAAGGTAAAAGACGTTGGAGTTTTTCCTGCCATAACACCACTAGGAATAAAACGCTCCCGGTAGTAGCTCATGCTCCACACTGAAATATGTTTGTGTCAGAGAAAGACACGATTATTTTAACGCATACCTGGAAATCTTTTTCATCTTTGTACAAGCTACAAGTTGGAGCCCATGACTTCTCCCACAGCTCCTCATTGCTGTCTTGAAGCTTCTCATTCTTTTTCTGACAGGGGACTATGGCACTTCTGAGACTTTCACCTCCATCTGTCTTTGCTTTTTAAAGAGAAGAACAATGATGTGTATGCAATTGTTACGCTTTATGAAGATGGGAATTAGCATTTGGTATAAGCATTGCCTGCAATCTTTAATGTGGCTTGGCCAGTGCGATGTAAAGAACGGCTTGGCAGGACTTTTAACTGGCAAGCCAAGCCAAGCCAAATGTTGATTTTGCTCACTGCTTTTCCTGTTTATTTCTGTTCGCAATTTCTGATCAAGATCAAGGACTGAAACTGATTGGAAGTTGGAAGTAATAGGTCTGCGGCATGGGGCAGGGGAAAAAATGAGCTTTTATCAGTTTAATTTAAATCCTATATAGCCCTGAATAGTTAAAAAATAGGAAAGGCAGCAAAACCAAGCCACTACTCTAATTATACCTCCCCTAAAAAGCCCACATTTGCAGTTGACTGATTCTTAAGATGACGGACGATGCTGGACATGGAGAGCCAAGTTCTGTGTTTGCCTGGGACAGTGACGTGACTGCAGCTTATTGGAACAAAGCCTACTCCCCCTGTAACTACTGCAGAGGTGTAGCAGAGGTAATAGGGCTGAAGTGTAAACATCTAGCTAATACAGAAGTCTTAGTCAACATCTGTGCTGGTGCCTGATGGTTCCAGAAAGACCCATCAGTTCTACGGCTGGAACTGAGCAGAACTTTACTTTTACTTTACTTTACTTTTACTTCACTCTTACTTCACTTTAACTTTACAGTTACATAACTTGAATTTAACTTTTTACTTTTACTTTCCTTTAATTTACTTTAACTTTACTTTTACGTTCCTTTTACTTTTACTTTTACTTGTACTTTACTTTTACTTTTTCTTTTATTATTTTACTTTTACTTTTTCTTTACTTTCACTTTACTTTTTATTTTACTTTCACTATTTCACTTTTTCTTTACTTTCACTTTACCCTTTCTTTTACTTTTTCTATTTTACTTTTACTTTTTCTTTACTTTCACTTTATTTTTACTTTACAGTTCAAGTGAAAGCCAGCGCAGAGTTCAATAGTGTCCTCTCACGGATGAGATATAATGAAGTTTTGATGCTATGGATCAGTAAAGAACTGATAAAGCTATGAATTGTATCCTCATACAATATGGCCAATCCTCACACAATATGGCCAATCCTCACAACCACATTCCAGGCTCACTCTAGACGAGCAATTACTTTAACAATCTAAACACTCATTTCCATTTTAAAACTGTATTACAGGTAGATTGTGAGTTTGTCTTCTTAATACAAATGACAGTCTATTATTGCTACAGTGGGAAATTATGTGTTCACCATGTAACACAGGCAGTTTGATAAAAAACTTAAGGAATAAAAGGTATTTACATGTTCAGTGTCTTATCAGTTCTTATAAGCTGCTGCTGTGTGCATTACCTGCATACTCCACGTACTCCATTTCATCCTTAGGAAATTCATCTTGCAAGTCAGCTGCCTGGGTAAGAAACAAACGCCTATGAAAATAAAAAAATAAAGTAAAACTCATGTTAGAGGTCTGAATTTTCTCTCTAAATTGTCCTGTACAATCGTTTGGGGTGGAAGGGCACCTTTTGTTGCTTAACCACAAATGCAGAATAGCGCAATGTGTTAAAAATGCAATGGAGGCAGCCAGATAGCTTAGTGACTAATAAGCTGCTCTTTTTTTATTCTTGGTGCCTAAGTTCAACTATGTCCATGAGACTAAAAGAAAACAAATGTTCTAGTCTCCAGTCAGCCCAAGACTCAAACCACAGCTGGCAGCTCTCACTTAAAAGCAGTCCAAAATTTGGAGAGGAAAAAAGAATGATCATTTCTTAAGACTTGGAGCTTTTTGATGCAATATGGCTGAAATCACTGAGCTGGGACTGGAAAATGAAGATGGATCATTCCCGCTGTCACGTTGTGCTTTTGATAATGTTAGTGTTGACATTTTGCAGCTAAATTAATCTTTCTCTAGGGAACAAGTTAAATAAGTTCAATATAAAATGAACTAATACTGCAGACACCTCTACAGACAGACCTATCCCAAGGCTTCTTCTTTACTCAGTACCAGGTTATTTGTTTCACTTGAGACTGCAAAACTCCATTTATTTGCACATTAATCTTCACATCCTTTAACATTTTGCCAACAGTAAAGGAAAAAATCTATGACTCAGCATTTGGTTTGAGACAATTACAACAGAAAGAAACAATTTCCAAGCCCCAATGGTATCCCCACTACAATAAAGTGATTGTCACTGGGTCTTAGAGATTATTAAAGAACCCAATTTTGGTATTCAGGAGTTTACAATGTCACTGTTATCCTTCAGAGATACAAGTTCCACAGATACGCCGTCAAATCCTGCCTCCCTTCAACCAGGAAGCTACCTTGGTTTTGTTGTGGGAGAGACCAAATAGCTCTAGAGGCAGAGGAAGGCATTATCTTTAAAAACAACAAAAAAAAGGCATTATTTTACCTGGGTACTCTTTGATCCTGAAGTTTGCTATCAACCAGCTGTGTCACTATAATGACATTTTCTTCTTCTAGGAGCTGAATAGATGCTTTCAAATCACTTACTTTCTTTCGGTACCTCATAACCTTTTGTCAATTAAAAAAAAAGGGTATTCTTAGAAGGATTATACCCATTTTTGAAAGCTTTCATGGTAACTATCTCGTTCTTTCACACCTTTTTTAGAGCCCTTTACTGGCACAACTCTGTCAATCACAGCCACACATCTGGGCTATGCAACTCTGACAGCAGAACCTTCTCACGTAACCAAAGAGGTCTGGTAGACAGAAGTTCTGGATTTTTATTTTTTTTTGTCACACCAGAGCTTTGAGAGAGAAAACCCTTCTTTGCAGACTTAAATTCAGGGTCTTGCTCAGCAAGTGTTGCTTTTCTAATTCCTGCCTATACATAAAACCTTCTTACTCAGAATTAGTGAAGCTTTCAGTCCAAGTTAGCCACGATGCTGGTTAAATCCCAGGTTCTGTTTTCTTTTGGACTGGTAATCACTCCATATAACTGTAATATAACTTAATATCTTAATAAAACTATGAAGTTATATTAACCAAAGAATACCAGTTATTCAGATCCCACAGTTCCTCACTTTTCCTGAAGTACAAGTTCTTACTCCACCACTGCAGAGTGGAATGCACTATGGGACAGATGATACCTTCGCAGGAATCTTAGCTCTACACAAGTTTAAAAACTACCTAGTGATCTGAATGCATCTGTTCTCACCAGAGCCAAATTAATCCAGCTATAATAATCCAAATTTGCAGTTAAAACCTAGTTGCCATTTCTCCCAGCGATTGAAAGAGGTGAAAATGACAGGACATTAAGCAGTAACAGGATGTGGCCTGGCACGATGAGGTGATGCAGTTTTGCACCATCTTGGTTTGACAAAGTAACTATAAAAAATGTGACCAAAGTCTCCAAATCTGTTCAGACTTGGAGGTAACTAGTTTAGGGCTGTTTTGGTCAGTCATTTTTCAGGTCAGTGGCCAACTTGAAAAAAATAATAAATTTTGAACTAGGAGAAAACTGAAATTTTTAGGGTATCTCTCCAAAAGAAAATACTGGAAGTGTCTGTCAGCTACATATAAACATCAGCCTGAAAGAAAATATTCCATCTGTATAAGAAAAGCAGAGAAAATGAATGGGTGAATTCAGAGGACTGGAGTAAGTTAGTGATAATAGTTTTGTTTTCCAAAATAATTCAAAGCGCTAAATCATAACATAGGAAACTAACTCATAACATAGGAAACCTTAGTGGAAAGAAACTCACATCCCTCAGCTCCTCAGAGAGAGCCCATTGGGACATAAGGGTGAATCTCTCCTGCTGACACTGCCCAATGTGTGTAAAGTTCGTCAGTGTTCAGCGAGACAGGGAGAAGGGAAGGGGGTTCATACTTATTCAGTGATGGTGTGTGTGTAGGTTCTAGCTCCTGTTTGTTTATACAGATTGAAACATTAATTCTGTCCTAATTCATTGCCTCAGAAGCTGTGGTTTGGACACCCTCCCTGGAAGGTTTTAGGCTCAGAGCTCATTAAGGGCAAGAAGAAAAGCTGTATCCCTGCATTCTGGCAAGTATTTTAAATTAGTAAGTAAAACAGAGAAACCTCTGCCAGGTTTGTTGATGCGGCAGAGAAAAATAATAAACTCATTTATCAATTTCCAAAAATGTTTTGCTCAGTTCTAAGTTGCAAGTTTGTAAAGGTGGGGAAGGGTGTTTCCTCCCTCTCATCTCTTGCTTAGATTTGATTGCAACAAAGAATCTGTATTGATTGGAACAAACACAATCAAACTTTCACCATGGAAAAAATTTCCATGTGAAAATTTTCCAAAAGTTTCCTAAATCTGGCTCACAAAAAAGTTTTTTCTTGACAAGAAAAGTTACAACTACCTACTATTTAGCTCTAAATTGCCTACTATTTAGCTCTATATTGCTCTAATTTTTTTTATAAAAGCTATCAAGTTTCAATTGTATAAAATTTTGATTTTCCTCTCTTCAGTGTACTAATCTCCAGGGTTTCTTTATTATCTCCCATTTAAAGCTGTTTCACACCTTTTCTCCAAAAATGTTTCCAACCTCCATATCCATTTTTTTTCAATATGGCAGTGCTAGAACTTAAATGCAGTTCAAAACTATAAGCTTCAGATAGTTACATAGTTGAGCCTTTACACTATATGGTATCCCAGTCTCCACAGGAATAAATACTTAATTGTATGGGATGTTGTAGTCCTTGATCTAACAGCTTGGGCAGGAAAAGGGGTCCTTCATTGGTGAAAGTAGATATTCATCTTTTACCTTTATTCACCACACACACTGCTGGTGTACCACTCAGGATTACAGATTATTTACAGGAAAATTGCTCTCCTTTTCATAGGAAAATCTTCAGAGAGAGAGTATTTCAAACCTGAACTGCAATGATAAACTGTACACAAGTGGTCCTCTTACCTCTTCTCTTAGCCATTCATTCTCTTCAACTTCTCGGCAGCATTTTTTGTCTAAGTATCTTACAGCATTCTGAGAAAACACAATTTAAGATCATCTCATCTGAAAGCTGTGCTGCACGCTATAAAGAAGAACCTTCTGCTTTTTAGCAGGAAATAATTAAGAAACATCCACACACCAGACTGTAGCTTCCCCTGAGGGATTACAAGGGGATTTAGTTCACAAGGCCAACTGTTTCTTATCCATCATCCTGCTTAGTGCAGTTTATGTGTCAAGCAATTTACCAATATTTTATAATTTTCCATATTAAAATAGGACATTTTCCTTTTGCCTAACAAGTTCTGTTATGTTCCCACTACCGCTCAAATCTTCCTGTTTTCAGGAAATCAAACCTTTAGCTATTCAAAAACCCAAGCAAATGAGGCAGCACTGATCAAGTACTGGCAAGTGACTCAAACATGTCCATGCTAATGAGCCAAGGCTAAAATTTAATTATTGATATTGATAACTCGGACAGAAGATACCCCTGTAGATCACCATAAACACAGGCCTTTGGGTTATGTTCTCACATGACTGAAAATTCCAGCACTGAAGTCAGGAAATGTAAATACCCAATGGGCCCAACCAGTGGTTTGTACTGAAGCATGCTTTCCACTTTGTGAGTGTAAAAATTAAGCACCATAAATATTTTGTAAATCATGTTTGCAAATCAGAGCTGGCAGGGATAATAAAAAAAAAATCTGTATATCAATAAGCCTAAATTTTACCTATTTGCACTATTTTAGCATTTTAAAAATTCTGTACTTTACACATTCAAAACAACTTTTTTTTTTCTCAAGTTGATGTATATTTCCACACGGACAATCTCTTAGTGTGTTACTGTTTTTGAAGTCTATGCAAATGTCAAAAATCAAGGTCACAACAAAAGTGACATGATCTTGAACAAGTCACATCAGTTCATGGTGCCCCAGTTTCCCATACTTTGTTTGTAAAATGCCCTCAAATCGTTAGTTTGATATGGAAAAAAAAAGGTACAACAATAACTAATGCCACGTTTAGCAAGAGGATTTACTCTCAATTTATTAGAAAATTTCCAAGTCTTAAATCAAGTTAAAATAATGAGTTAAAATACCTCACGGGCCTGTTCCTTAGAAGACTTCATGTGCTCTTCAACCAGTCTCTTATTTTCTTCTTTCAATGCTTTCAAAGCATTTCTGTAATACTCTTCAACATGAAAAAGAAAAATCAGAAATCATTATCTAACATCAGTTTCTCCCGACAACAAATAGATAATCGGCATTTTATTCTTAAACTGGAACTTAGCAGCCAGCATCACATACATTGATGCTCCACAGAAAAGGATACAAACATCCTTGACTATAGAAATTGTCCTCCTAAACCCAAAGGACAGTAGTGTTAACTCCAAAACTAGAAATCTGGAGTGGGTCACACATTTCTGTTTGAAACTACAACAGCTAATAAATGGAGCAACTCTCTGCTAAAATATTGGTATCTTAACACTAAATTTTGTCTCCATCAACAGCAAAGATCCTGGAGTTATGCGAGAGGTTTTCTTAGAAAAATTATTTTTTAGGTACAGAAACATTGGATCATCTTATGCACCTGGCATTTTTTTTCAGACAGTTATACAGAGCCTAATAAATTTTCTGGCTTATCTAAGCGTTCCAGGGGCTCTAATATGACAACAAGACAAAATGAAGACTATAGCAATTGCCTTAATAACTTTCTTTTGTTGTTACTTGTGGTCATTATTTAGAAAGTGTCTTATGTCTAATTGAATTTGTTTGGCTTCAAGTTCTAGCCACTTGCTGTTTAACTATTTCAGCTGTTTTTGTGCTGTTCTAAATAGCTGCTTGGTATTTTCTCCTTTTGAAGGAATGAATGAGACTGTAGTAATTTTCTTTCAGGGAAGGCACTTCATACTTGTTCCAGAGGCTTGAAATTCAGCCTTGCTCTGCTCTTGTGTTGCAGACAGCCTAATCCTGTTCTGGCTGTATAGGAGTATCTGGTCATGGACCCACTGTGGCGTCAAAGGCAATCAAATATGAAAAGTGCATTAGTTATGCATTAGTTCTTGATTTAACACTGTGGAAGCTGGCCTGCCTTAATCGATCTACTACCTAGACTTGGCAGAGTAAAACGGAAGTACTTACATACCATAATTAATTTATCTTTTTATTCTTCCAGACAGCTAAACAACCTGAGTTGTACCGGGAGAATGAAGAGAAGGAGGAACTCTTCAGACATATTCACTGTTTCTAAGGAGATTATTTTCCCTAACTCTCTCACTACAACTCTGTTTTCCCCAGACCTTACATCAGTGTATGCCTCTCTTTTGCCTCCTCTTCACTGCAGCAATTTTGTTTAGAATGTCATCTCCAGGCCACATGAACTATGCCAGCATCAAGACCTTCAGTGGTACCTACAGAGACAGACACCTCTTCACCTATGCTTGTTCCTTAAGCCCGTTACACATTTGAGAACTGAATTAGCCCAATTTGCTGCAGCATCACACTGGAATCTTGTTAGATTTTTTTTAAAATTTTTTTTTAAGGCTAGAAGACTGTACTCCCCAGCCACTTTATAAGTTCAATTTTAGGAAGCTGAGTAAAATAGTATGGTAACATGCAGTACCAGCAGGATCATTTTGCCGTACATTACTTAGGCAACTGCTATATGTACCTCTGTAATAGACTTTCTATAAATACACTTCTGTTCAACCACAAATTTTTGGCTCTGCACCCTATGACATGCAGGAGGTCAAACTGAATGTTCCTACTGGCTGATTTTGGGATTCTATATAAAAGTCAATTCTCTTTTTCATTTCGTATTTTGACAGCTGTATAGCGAAGTTTTAAATTTATTAAGAACACAGAAAACTCAGAATGAAATATATCAACCCCTCCTGAATACAGAGATGGATATCTGACAAGCTATCTGGCAATATAGAAAACACAGTGCAAATCTTAATCATGAAAAAATATGTCTCAAGAGGCAAAAAGGTAGCTAGCTGGCTCTTAGCCACAGGAGTTGATGCCTGGTAATGGCTGGCACAGAATATACAGAGACCCTTAGAGCAGCGTCACTGCCTGTTACTACCAGCTGCTTGGCTGTGGTCATGCATACTGAGAGGGACATGAAGGAAGAAAACCAGGACACCCTTCTCCTGTTAGAAACATGAGTTATGTAGTAGTAAGATATTTCAATTATTTTAAAATAATGCAGTATTAAAGAAATCTTTGTAAAGCACTCAGAACCAGAATGCATACGCTCTCAAATTAATTCCACTGTTGTGCCAGTATCGAAACAGTTCCCAGTGTTTGAATATGTCCGCACTGGCAATTTTGCAGGGCCTCATATATGAGGCTGTGCAACCAGGAGGCAAAGTTCAGACCGCTGGCTGAACAGCTCCCTCTAGTTCTGCTTTTAAACCAGTGTGCTGAATTCCAAAAATTGTTCCAAAAATGAGCTCATGCTACTTTCCTGTCAAAGGAGTTTTCAACATGTGAAGTGCTTGTAGCACGATGAGAAGCAACAACAGCAGAGTCAACGTTTTCAAGTATGACTGCTAAGGGAGTCCTGTGTGTAGGTGACCTAAATACATGTAGACTTATTTTTAGAAAACTGCTGTCCTTCACAATAATGTTTTTTAAAAAAACAGGTTGCCTGTATTTTACAAGAAATTTGTCAGAAGGCAAGCTTATCAGTTTCCTTAAGTGTTCATAATATCCGTAACTTTATTGATTTCTTTAATAAAGGGACTTTCACAAAGAGAGAGTTCTTCCATTTTACAGGATTATACAGCCCACCTTAGGTGCATTTTCTTTGAAAAGTTGATAGAAATGACTACAACATAACCTCAAAATAATTTTAAAATTTAATTAATTCCTGCAAGTAATGCACAAAAGAGCTTGTAAAACTTGCATAACAGTTGCTGTAAACTGACCTGTAGCCTTGTGAAGGTCATCTTTGACTTCCTTAATGTCTTCTTCCAGATGCGTAATCCTGTCCATCAGTATTTTTCTTCCTACATTTCTGTATTCCAACCAATAATCTCTCTCACTCTGCTTCACTAAAAGTCTTTGCTCAGTTTCCTCAATCTGGGAGTGCAGATCTGTTAAAGTAAGAGCATCAGAAGATAATTTCTTGAAATAATAGTTCATAATTACAACTTCATAAAAGTCATTAATAAAATAATTTTCACTGGGACTGGAGAAAGAAGGGTGATTGTTCTACACTACAACATGATGGCCTCACATAGTGTCAAGGGCCACCATCATCGCTGAAAACAGCTTGATCTCATTCTGCCAAGGAGAGACAACAGCTCTCACTGAAATGCTGTAACTAAAGACACATGTGTCTCCCACTGAGAACTGCAGGGATGACAGCCAGAACTTTCAGCAGTCAAAACTGGTCATTTTTGCTGCCATCAATAATTTCATTTAATGTTCCAGTGCAGCCAGTGCATAAGGCTTTTAGGAGTTTTAACTTAATAGAGAAAAAAAGAAGACTCTGTATTTGCACAGTAATATACAACACTTGGAAGGAACAGATTTACTTATAAGCCCTCCACAGTCTCATACCACACTTGGAGGGCTTATTTTGGGGAGAAAAAGCTTAATGTTTTTTACGCAACAATGAAGTTAAATCTCCATTTAAAATGCAACAACAACAAAAAAATCACTCAATCCCAATTGTGTAAACTGGAAACCCCACTTCCACAACTCTCAACATACCTTTCAGAAGTTGTTCTTTGTCCTTAACATACTGCCATACTGCATTCAGTGCCTCTTCCACATCGTAACTAGTTACAACCTCCTTTGCATCTTGTTCCTTCTCATGTTTTTCTATTTCTCCTAGTATGCGCTTGATGTACACCTGCTGTTTTTCCTTCAGAAGGTCATTCTATGAAATGCCAACAGCAGAAAAGGCACACATTAAAACATTTTCAACGTTTTCAAAGTTACAAACTGAAGTGATGAAGAAAAGTAAAATCTGACCTAGCACCAGGATGCACTGTAAAAACACTCAGCTAAACACCTATTCTTCATATTCAAAAAGGATGGAGCAGAAAGGAGAGTCTGTGAGTCTCAGAAGTTTCTCAGTAACTTCAAGACCATTAGAAGGAAACAAGAGACAAATGATCGCTGTACTTGGTGCAGCACATGAATTGTCCTCCATTGCATGGAAAGAAAGTTCCCTGGAGGTCAATTTGTTAACAAATTTTATTTGTAGGAGTTATTTACTTCAGTTCAACATTTTTCATCACAACTTACCAACTTCATGTAGAAATGTCATCAGACAATCAGGTCACTTGTGTATAACCACAGTAGAGAGCCTTGTCAGAGCTGGAATCACTTATACCTACTGCGATTATATCCCCTTACCTTGACCCATTCAAGTGACACTCGAATTATTTGAAATTACTGATCATGTGTGTTTCCTCCCAAAGGATACCTTGAAAGAGCAAATAACCACACTAGCCAAACTGTAACAATAACTATGCAGTAGAGAAAGTCGCAAACGTTCCTCACTTTTAGAAGGATTAACTCTAAAGCACTCAGAAACATTAAGCAGGAAACAAAGAATGAAACTCAAAAAACTGTCAAAACATGAGTAAATTAAACAAAGCATGCCCTGAAGTACCTTGCACAGTCTGAAATATGAAGGAGTCCTTGAGGGACCATGAGCTAGCAGCAAATTGGGGGAATAACCATAAGGGACTTCAGATGTTTGCAGGGAGAAGAGCCAAATGCTGCTTCCACTGATAGTTAAGGCCACAGATGAAACACAATTCAGGCTTCAAAACTGAAAGGAACATCAAGGAAAGTAAACAGGTGGATAGTTACAAAAGCAGGGCAAGTCTCAGGCATGGGAAAGACAGAGAGACATGGTTTGTTTCGATGTTTCATTGCTATAGGAGTCCAGGCTGCAACATGGTTTAATTACATGCTCCAGTTTACAGATTTTTGAGACATTTGAATTTATTTCATTAGGTGACTATATATATCTCTGCTTTCGAAGTTCACTGCTCTTCAGTCATCAGATGCCATATTAAGGTTCTTTATATACCGTTCATACATACACTTTCACTCGGGTGCAATCAGTATTTATATAACCTTGTTCTAAAAATGATCCAACACAACTCTTAATCCACAAGAGAGTGGGTCTTCATCAAGCAGTGCTAGAAATTGCACCTAGACAATTGTGTGATTTTTTTTCCTTCCTTGTTGACTTTTCATTGTCCCTGCTTATTGCAGGGATGTTGGACTAGATGACCTTTAAAGGTCCCTTCCAGCCCAAATTATTCTATGATTCCAAGTTTTCAAGAATAACTAAACTCTCATAGATGCCTGTGCAATTCCACTATGTCAGAAGTGAATCGAAGACAACCAGCAAACCTCAATACTTGGTTAGCTCTGCTAATATTACTAAAATGAAGTTGATACAGTTTATTCCTCTTTGAGCTGCAAGTGTATTCTTGAATTCCTTGAGGAATATTTGCAGGATTGTTTACAAAGGCAAATCTGAATGTATTTCAGTAATGTTACATACTGAACTGGGGCTCACCGTCCTATGTTTGCTGCAAAGTAAGATTAAATACCGAGGCAGTTACTGAGGATCTCACGTGCATTGGAAAACACCTTTGCTGAACTCACTTTGCCTTACTGCTGTGTCCTGTTCTGCAGTGTTCTACTCCTGCAGCTCCTTTTTTGCGTAATATACTTAGGACAGTTAAGCTTTATGTCACATTTAATTCAGGTAACACTAACTTTTAAGCACATAAAGTGACTCACTAACTCTGCTTTCATTGACTGTAAGAAATTCACTGCAATTACTTGTTATAATAAATGTAGTATTTGGATTACAAGAACAGAACTGAATCTGTGACTTAAAATACAACATACAAAATGTGTTGGGATTCATGGTCACTTACCCTTTCATGACATTCTTTGTTCTTTTTTTCCACTTGTTTCAGAGCCAACAAAAGCTGAGCAATTGCTGCTTCTTTTCTCTCAATGCTGTGGAGAAAGGGTAAAGAAAGTGAAGTTGTTATAAAAACAAGAGATGTGTGTTATTTAAGCTAGATTAAATGTAAATACTACAGATAATTTTTTTTTCATATCATATTGCTTGGCTCATTTGAGTAGATACTACTGTCCTCTTACAACACATAAAGAAACTATTTTGCAAATACATCTGGACCTTCATATGCATTTGGATCTTATACTCCTACTGAGAAACAGACTCTCTGCTTATACTGTTGCTTTGTTACAACTAGAGAGGATTATGCTGGTTTATTCTTTCTGGACGTGGTTTTGCTGGTCTATTGCAAAGGTCTCTTTCATGACAAGGTAATTTGTGCTCTGGAAGTATTTATTACTCACCACTCACTACAGAGGAAGCCTAGGCAACTCACTCAGGCATAGGTCAGATGAATTCCAAACTGGAGAATTAAATGGAATTCAAGTCTTCTGAAAATTTGGTTTGATGAGCTTCATAAACTTCATTTGTACACCAGGAACTTGTCAGCCTTTAAGGCTGCTCAGACTACTTGTCATCCTCTTTGCCAGAGCTGTAAAATAAACATTTTTTTTCTGCTCTTTTCTCTTCTCAGATGAGAAATGCTGGGTTGCAAATGGTGTCTATTTGCAAAATTCTCTGTAATCTTTCTCTTCCCAGAATTCATTCACCATACAGCACAATTGATGCAAGCATTACAGTTATCACAATATCTTTTACAGTTTCAATAGCTATTGTTCCTTTGTTTTTTTTTTGTTTTGGAGGTTTTTTTGCCCCTCCCTATTGTACTAAGTTGTTTTAAAAGAATAACATTTTTTCCAGGCTAAGTTTGGATCACTCTGTCACGTAAATTGCAGGTTACCAGATTTGTATCCTCTGGTGTCAGAGCATTTCAAGGTATTCTTCAGGTTCTCCATTAAGTACAAGGATATTAGTTAGGAAGCCTAGAACACAGATAGAGGGGTATGGTGGTGATGGCTACAGCAAAAATATCTTGCTTGTTGTACAGAAGTGACAAGCTTGACCACATACCATGACGTTCTAATTACCTGCCATTTTAAACCATTTGTGTATTTTGAATACTGGTGCTGCTCTTGACTTCTGCTTCTTTAAGATATTCCATGAAGTGGCAGCCTATACCCATCACTTCGTTAATGTCCAAAATTTATATGAGTAGAATTTGCTATTTTGTCTGCTACCTACTGGAACTTTCAGCTTTAGATTGTTTTTCTATGGTATTTGTCAGATTAAAAAAGCTCTAAAACAGCTAAATTGATGATGCCTTTGATACAATTTTTCTCAACTCTATACACTAGGTTTTAACTAAATTATTTCACCTGGAAACAAAACCCCTTTCCAGTACCATGAGTTATGTCAGTCATTTATAGGATGTCACTAGGGCAAGTAATTAATGGGGTTTTTAGTCCTAGCCAACCCTGAAACAGTAAGCTGCACTGAAAATGCAAAATAACAAACTCGCTACAAACAGCAACCATTCTTCAGCGTACAGA